TGACATCCATAAATTCAATATGTGGGTTTCATATTCCCACTTGATTTTTTAGTGTTTACACCAGCGTAAGTCTTGACTTAGGTATAACTACTACCATACACTATAGTGCTTTACAGGTCCTATCAGAGATGTTACCTATGTCCCTGATTTCAGAATAGAGTAGGTCTGTGAGCCAACAAAAGGAGGACTACTTGCACAAAATTAACAGGCAGATAAAAGCCCATCAGGATTCATGGTGGTATTTTCAGGTAAAGTCTAGAAAGTATGGATACAGGGATACATGTTTTTCCCTCACACACAAACACACAAATGTCATTCAGCTAGGAATTACAGAGCCTGTTGCAAACTTCTTTCTTGCAAGATACTACACAAAGTTCTTTCATATTGATGTATGTATATTAATATTGGCTTCTTTCCTTCCACAGTTGTGTTATCTGTGCAATCTTTAAAGTTAAAAATAGTAGATTTTTCTTCTTCAGTTTTATGTAGAGATAAGTAACCATTCCTAGTACAAATCAATGGAGTATGAGAAGTAAAGGAATCTTTCAGTTTTGTTAAAATTGTTCTGGATTTGTTTACAATATAGTTCTTACAGCTGTGCACTGACTAATCAGTTCAGAGCCTTAAGTTTCAGCTAAATCAGTCTGATTGTTGTTGTTAATTGTATTAGCCTTACCAGATATTTTTTTTAAAGAGTAGAAATAGAATACTTATTATATCCTATCAACTGTTCAGGACATCAACTGTTCAGGACAAAATCCATTGTAAGCACAGACACATGAAGTTAATGACATGATTTCATTTCTGATTTCAACAGCTTCTTCTAAAGCCAAATTAACATAAACAAAAACAAAAGACAAATTTATATATATTTTGATTTAAAGGTTATATGGTGAGATTCAATGTTTCAGCCTTTAGCTAAGGAAATAACTCTCACTCTTGCAAGTATCCCTATTTAAGTCAGTTTATATAAGTAAAAAAATTATCCTCCTGAGCAAACATTTCTTATGGATCTTTGCCCTTAAATTATAGTTTTCCACATGCTATTCTGATGACTAAAGAGATAGTTAGTGGATTATATTGTTCTCCATCATAAGATGTTTGTCCTTGTAAAAAAAAATATAGAAAAGATATGTGAGGAGATGACCTGGAATGGAATGTCAGGGGCAGAAGTGTGTCCCCACAGACAGATGATATGCAAGGTCTATGATTACAAGCCAAGAAGGCCAAATGTGTTTGTTTCCATACTATGTAATAAAAAGTAAAATATTCTTGAGAATAAGCTATATGGAAAAAAAAATGCTAGAATAGTATCTGAACAGTTACTTTTAACTTGAACTTTGCCTGAATGCAAGATCATTTTCAAGTGAAGTTAAAGCCATGAAATGTCTTGTCATTGGGTAAACCCCCAATTTAGCAATGCATGTGATGAAAAAGCACTGAAATGCACAGTCATTTGTATTTGTGCACAAATGAGGAGATTTAACAGGGATAATATATTTCCTGAGAAAGAGGAAGTTTGGTAGAAAGACTCAGTAAAAAGTTAGTTGACTTCCTAAAATTCTGCTGGTTAAATGAAGGCAACCTGGCTTTGTGCTATTCCTGAGCACAGGAATAAAGGTCTGTAATGAAGGATAGATTTAGGTGAGTGTTTTGTATATTTAAATGGTATCTTTTTTGCTTATTTTTTTCCTGTCTTTTAAGTGAAACTCCTTGTTTTAAGTAGGCTGTCTGTCATTTGATGGCATTTGTCACAAGTTTCTAAAGAAAGAATTACAGGTGTTTAGTCAGACTAGCAAATTAATGGATGTATAACTTAGGTGTCTCACTTTAATTGCTGGAAACACGGTGAAAATCTGATCCTAAAGCAGGTAAGAGCATAAAAGCTGGTCCAAGAAGAGGTGCATTTAGATACAAAGGGGCTGTACTGTCTTTTTGGGACTCTATCCATACTTATGTTTGGGTTTCAGCATTTGCATTAAGGTATCTTCACATTTAATATCTTCTTCGATGATCTGGACAAGGCCATTGAGTGCACCTTCAGTAAGTCTGCAGATGACACCAAGTTAGGTGCGTGTGTCAATCTGCTCGAGGGTAGGAAGGCTCTGCAGGAGGATCTGGATAGGCTGCACCGATGGGCTGAGGTCAATTGCATGAAGTTTAACAAGGCCAAGTGCCGGGTCCTGCACCTGAGGCGCAATAACCCCAAGCAGAGCTACAGGCTGGGAGATGAGTGGTTGGAGAGCTGCCAGGCAGAGAAGGACCTGGGAGCGATGGTTGATAGTCGGCTGAATATGAGCCAGCAGTGTGCTCAGGGGGCCAAGAAAGCCAACAGCATCCTGGCTTGCATAAGAAACAGTGTGACCAGCAGGGCTAGGGAAGTGATCGTCCCCCTGTACTCAGCTCTGGTGAGGCCGCACCTTGGGTACTGTGTTCAGTTTTGGGCCCCTCGCTACAAGAAGGACATGGAGGTGCTTGAGCGGGTCCAGAGAAAGGCGACGAAGCTGGTGAGGGGCCTGGAGAACAAGTCCTATGAGGAGCGGCTGAGGGAGCTGGGCTTGTTCAGCCTGGAGAAAGGAGGCTCAGGGGCGACCTTATCATTCTCTACAGGTACCTCAAAGGAGGCTGTAGAGAGGTGGGGGTTGGCCTGTTCTCCCACGAGCCTGGTGACAGGACGAGGGGGAATGGGCTTAAGTTGCGCCAGGGGAGTTTTAGGTTGGATGTTAGGAAGAACTTCTTTACAGAAAGGGTTATTGGATGTTGGAACAGGCTGCCCAGGGAGGTGGTGGAGTCACCATCACTGGAAGTCTTCAAAAGACGTTTAGATGTAGAGCTTAGGGATATGGTTTAGAGGGGATTGTTAGTGTTAGGTTAGAGGTTGGACTCAATGATCTTGAGGTCTCTTCCAACCTAGAAATTCTGTGATTCTGTATTAGAACTTAATTCATCCTTGTTTATGCCAGTGGCATCCACCTACAGCTGGCAGAACTACTTTGCTGTTTCCCAGCTATTATATATTTTTCTATAAAATCTTGTACTAACAACAGGTTAGTACAGTGTGTACACCCTGCATGATCATGCACTATATACCAAAAATAAAATCTTTCTGCCTGAGCCTTTCATCCTCCTTATTGCCTGCTCCTGCCGTTGCCATTGGGCTGGAGGACATTCATGGCCACAAAAGGAGCTTTATTTCAGGGTTGCAGGTAGCCTTTTCAGCAGATAGAGGGACAGGCAATTTCTTGGCCCTATTTCGATTCTAGATAGTAGGAACCAAAGTCATCACAGCTGGAAATGGGATGTTTCATTACCTCCTGATGGCAAGCAACATGGACTCTGTCCTTTATATTGTCCATTGAGTAATGGCTCTAAAAGAAGTTTGTCTTCAGTATAGTTCGCAAAACAACTGTTGTTCATTCTCCACTTACTGTGCACAACCTTAATTTCAGGTCCAATTGGGTACCTGTTGTCATTCAGGGACTGGAAATCTACTGTTCATCAGCATGATAGAAATGTGTAAAGGAAGTATTCACAACTGCTATTACCTTTCTAGGCACTCAGTGAATTGTTTCAGCTAACATAGCTTCTGAGTTTCACTTAATTTACAGATTCCCACTATTGCATAAGTGGGAAAAGTAGGCTTGAAGGCAGTGCATATCCATAAATCAGGGACATCATACCTCATCCTGTTTTATGACCACAAATAAATTTTTTCTGCAGTTGGCTCACACTTTTCCTCCCTTCTTCCACAACTGATTAATTCTCCTCGAGCCTTTGCCTCTTCTCCTCTGTTCTTTCTCTTCTGCCTTCCCAATAATCTTGTACAAAACACTGTGCTGGGCTTCAGTAACAAATCCTTGGATCAGAGTAGACCACTGCTGGTTTTCTAATGGTTCTCTAGATAAAGTTACAGTAATGGGAACTGTATGGTGATACTTTTCACAAACATTGCCCCATTTTGACATGCTGGTTATGCAGTTCATACAGCCTGTTTTACGTGGTTTTCAAGACTATGTAGGACCAGCCCTAGTAGTTTGGAGTTTTTAGCTTTGAACAGAACCATGACATTAAGTGTTATGATGTGCAGAAAACTTATATAAAGGAAAAGACACACATTCAAGGACAAGTAAGTTTATTTCTATGAAAACATTGTCAAGCATGGCCTATGTCTGCAGTGAGATGCTAAGCAGTAAGAAGAACTGGAAGTCAGAGGTATAAATAAGGTGAGCATGGGAAAAGGAAAATGGCACTTCCACACGAGGCTAAGAAATAACTGGGTCAAGACAGGGTAATATTTTCTTTCTCACAGCAGAGCTAGTTAGTAATATGAACTTAAGTGAACAGCATCTTTAACTCATAAACGATGCCAAAATAAATATCTGAGAGTTGCTTATCTTTAATCTCATTCAAACAAACGAAAACCAGCTCTGCTTTTCTTTTCTCAGGCCTGCAGAAAATAGGGATCGTCCTTGCTATCCTGAAATAATTTGCAGGGAATCTTAGAATAAATAAATCAAACAGCAATAAACAAAATATATACTTCCTTTGGCATATTCACTTGAGTTCTGCTCCCTGACTGTAGAACTGGTTATGGACAGTTTCTCCTAGGTATTCAGGAAACAGGCTTTGAGCCTCAGTTTCACCTATACAAGCCAGCTGGTATCTACCAAGCCCAGGGAAGCAATGTGGGCAATAGGTGACTTTAGAGCTTGAGTTCAAAGTCAAGACAGAATTATCGTGAAATGTTAATATAGACAGAAACTCAGAGAAGAAAATTTGGTGCAGGTAGCACTGTAGTTGACAGTCACGTTCTTTATATTATTTTATTTATGCTTTGAATTATTATAGAAATAAAATTCTTTTCATCTGTGTGTTCAATTTGGTATGTTACCAAAGACTCAATAAACAAAAAGACAGCCAGCTATAGTTATAAAAAGTTGCAGCATAATGAAAACATTAGTGCTTAGAAGATTTCATAACTGTCTGTTTCCCTTCCATAGCTATTTTCTGCTGGAAAACTCTCAGGCTCCAAAGTAGCTGAGCTGAAGGCAAAGTACACCCTGCTGCATGAGACTGTGATAAGGTACAATATTTACAGATTTCTAAAGATCTTCTCCTGCTTCTTTGTGAATTTTTGATTTTACAACTTACACTCTGCCTTTGTTTGGACTTTGCATAGCCAAAACATTAAATTTTTTAAGTCATTTTCTGATAATGTTGAGGCCTAATTCTTACTTAAGATTTTCTTGCAGTGATTTCTTACAGTGTGAAAGAGGAGAAATACAATATTGTTCAACACAAAGATTCAAGATAATCTGGGGTTTATAAATGCTCGTATATAATATCTTTGTTTTTGATATAAACGTAAGAATAATGGCAATGGAAGGAAGTACAAACTGAAGTAAATAATACATAAGTTTAAAATAAAGATACATTTGAAGATTATGTGGCCAGAATTGTAACATGACAAGACTTGAACCTGCTGAGCCAACATATTAGAGAGTTTTGAAGAAGATAAAGGCCTATTTTTAAGAAGGAAAATAAGACTATTTTCACAGCTAAATAGGTTTGAGGATATTCACAGTCATATCAGACAGGTCTGGTAAGAAATTTGAAAGGTTATAACCTGAAGCTTCAAAATATGATTCAAACTCTGAAATTCAAGTGTGGCAGTTGTGAGTCTGCCCTGCTCTGGTGCTTGCTAGAGAGGAGACAAGAGAAGGGATCGTGCTCTGTGCCAGGCTTGAGCAGGTCTTGTGGGAGTGGAAGGAAAAGAGGGACAAGATGGTACAGTTGCACTGTACTGAATGGTGTCTCACAGACAGAGCAGCAATATTGCAATATTTGTAATTCATATTTGCAACTGTAAATTTTGATCCTGAAAACCCAGTTTTCCTTAAGGTTGACCAACTCTTCTAGTTTCATCCCCATAAAATGGGGATCTAGAATACGGCCCTGGCTGTGCAAAAAGTCATCTGACTTTGTTCAGATTAGTGCATGGCAAATGTTTTGGAGAAGTGAAAATTAAACCAGCACTCTAAACCAGTTCAACTCCTTAGAAAACGTAAATTTAGCTCAGAGCTAAAAACATTATGTGGATTTGGGACTAGTTGATTGAGAAGTTTTCTACTACACCAGTATTCATGGAGTTGAAGGAGGACTCCAGTAGCTGCTGATCTTGATTTACTTTTAGCCAGTGTAATTTTTCAGTCTTTGGCTCGAAAAAATACAATCATGTTGCTACTTATTTTATTTTGTGTATTTGTATAGAATTCCTTTATATAGAACATTCTTCTATATAAATAGTTTCTTTGTGTGTATTATAAGTGGAATAGGGCCCGAGAGAAAACAAGACTTTACCATCTTTTCTCTCATACATATAACTACTGTAAACACTATTCACAAAAAGCATGAAAATATTAGATGACAGATTACATATCTCATTCTGTCTGTGTTTCTCACAGTAGTACATAACTGCCATACTTCTACACAAAAGTCAGAGAGCATTGTGTAGCACTCTTTAACAGTTGATGTAGCCATATGTTAAAGTGAAAAAAAGCACACATGAATTAACACGAATGATAATTCCCACAGATGCATATTTTGAGGACTTTTCAGACATTAAAGATGGGATTCATTTCTCAACATGTTGACATCTGTAGACATCCACATCTAACTCAGTATCTAAAGTCCACTAACACTCAATAGAAAGAGAAAGGGTCCACACACTGCCTCCTTAAACAGACATCTGTAAGCATCTGTTTTTTATTATTGTTGTTTTCCATTGCCTAAAACAAAGTTCTGATGATGGATTCAATATATGTTTATGCTGTTGGTCTCAGTCATCTGAAGCCCTGCCCAACCTTGGAAAAAGTCACAGTTATGAAGAGCAGGAAAAACACTAAAAGATCCTAGTGCACTCATAACTCACATTATGTTCTTTTCAGCCTGTACTGAGCATGACCCTTTGTGATAATTTATAAAGCATTTGTTCTTTTCCTATAATCAAACACTCAAAAGAATCAATACAATTTTAAATTTTTATTTCTTCACCTTTAAATATGCAGTACAATTCTGTGGAGCAATAGCTTTTTTTTTTTTTTTTTTTTTTTTTTTTTCCCACCTATTACAGTTAAATTTTGTTTCTTCCCTATTTAGTCTGCAATGCAGAATGTCTTCTGTGTACCAGTGTTGTTACAATGACATGTGGAAAGAAATTATGCTGGATGAGCAGGTCTTCAAGTCATGTGTGTTTTTTCTTTTAGTCAGTCTCAGCGATAGCACCCAAGGGAATAGCATGAAGCTGTGTCAGGGGAAGTTCAGACTGGAAATTAGAGTAGAGTAGCATAGAGTAGCGTAGCATAGAGTAGAGTAGAGTAGAGTAGTTCAGTTGGAAGGGACCTTCAAAGATCATCTGCTTGACTGTTTCAGGGCTAACCAAACATTAAAGCATATTATTGAGGACATTGTTCAAATGCCTCTTAAACAGTAACAGGCATAGGTCATAAACCACCTCTCCAGGAACCCAACCACCCTCTCAGTGAAGGACCTTTTGCTAAAAAGTGTAGATCCTCGTGACAGTTCCACCAGACTATTGTAACTGTTCTCTCTGGTATGGATTTATCTAACTATGATGAATGCAATTAGTATGTGTGCAGATCACTTTTAAGGCTGTTGCTAGAGCGCACAGTTACAGTGTGGTCCTTTACCTATAGTGATAAATAGTCCTTTCAGATTTGCTTAATTCAGCATTCTGGAAAGCTGAGAGATGTCACCTGGCAGATAACATCTTTGACACGGCTTCAAGCTGTTATATGTTTCTGAACTTGTGTTTGCTGCACTACTGAAGTTCTGGGAACAGGCTGTGCTCCCTTTCTGGTGCCGTCTCACCCATCCTCTTTGAAGTGGGGCTGCACCGTGAAGCTCAAGTACCTGAGCTCATCCCTGAAAACTTGTTTAGTCACATACAGTCATGAGGCCCAATTATGAATTTCATGTTTATCATCTGGGTTTAGGAACCTACTATGAATATTCTCATGCACCAATCTGTAAGAAAGTCAGGTAATGATAGTTCATTGACAGTTTGGGAGTCTTATCTTTTTAAGCCTTTTTAAGCCTTATCTTCAGTGAAATTTTTAATCACTTCATAAATCCCAAAGCTGCCACATCAGACTCAGCAAGCATATTTCTGCACTCATGGGATTCTATTTGTGCACATTGTGTATATTTCCAGTTATTTCTTCATCGGAATTTAAATCTTCACATGAAAAAATGCTGTTGGCAACTACAGTGAACAAGGTCTGGTCCAGATTCAGCACTTTTTTTTTTTTTTTTTTTTTTTTTAACTTTTTATTACCTTGAAAAAAGTAAATCATAAGTATTTTGTTTTTATTGAACTTACCTTTATGAAATTTTATGTAAAATTTTAGTTTTATTTAAGAATACATTTTAAATGAGTGTGTATTATTGTGTCCAATTATATTTTCTCCCCAGTTCAGATTCATTATTTTGGACTTATGTAAGTAAGATCAAACTATTATATATCTCAATTTATTTTTCTATTAAAAATTTATGTAAATACATCAGCACATGAAGTTCTTTGTTCGTGATAAAGACACGCTCTTGTATCCTGTTCAAGTCTGTGGTTTTCTTATTCTCTGTTTTAAAAAAGGAAGTGGCTATCTAAGTAGAAATGTTACACAGAGCAATTTTTTTTCCTCCTATGTTATTTCAGCTATGTTTGTGCAGTATAGTTAGTTTTCTATTATTTTTTTTATTTACCATGTTAGCCCTGTTCTTTGTTGTGATATATAATTTGTTCTTGCTTAGCTTGTAATATGCTCACAAATGTGTGTGCCAGTGTGGCCAGCAGGTCTAGGGAAGTGATTGTCCCCCTGTACTCAGCTCTGTTGAGGCCGCACCTTGAGCACTGTGTTCAGTTTTGGGCCCCTCACTACATGAAGGACATCGAGGTGCTTGAGCGAGTCCAGAGAAGGACGACAAAGCTGGTGAGGGGCCTGGAGAACAAGTCCTACGAGGAGCGGCTGAAGGAGCTGGGCTTGTTCAGCCTGGAGAAGAGGAGGCTCAGGGGCAACCTTATCACTCTTTATAAGTACATTAAAAAAGGCTGTAGTGAGGTGGGGGTTGGTCTATTCTCCCACGTGCCTGGTGACAGGACGAGGGAGAAAGGGCTAAAGTTGTGCCAGGGGAGTTTTAGGTTGGATATTAAGAAGAGCTTCTTTACCAAGAGGGTTGTTAGGCATTGGAATGGGCTGCCCAGGGAAGTGGTTGAGTCACCATCCCTGGAGGTCTTTAAAAGACGTTTAAATGTTGAACTTAACGATTAGGTTTAGTGGAGGACTTGTTAGTGTTAGGTCAGAGGTTGGACTCGATGATTTTGAGGTCTCTTCCAACCTAGATAATTCTGTGATTCTGATTCTGTGAAATGTCATCTTTGAGTTAGAAATTGCTAGAGATTCTCAATATTGGAGATTATAAATTCCTTTGATTTAAAAAATATGCTAAAAATTTAAAAAATAATAAATTATTTATATTTTTAATCAATAAAGGGTAAGTGATAGAGTTCTTTATTCTTCCACATCATTTGTAACAGGCCATTATATAAAACTTATATATGTGACAATATTGAGAAGTTATATACAATGATTTTTGTAGCATGAAGACTAGGTTTATATGTTTTGCATTGTATAAGAATTTTCATGTTGCATTTCCCCTTAAAACTCTTCCATAATTACCAATGTATTTTAATAACAGCCTTTAAGATCAATTACTCAGCTGTCACCACAAAGGCTCCTAAACATATTATCAATACCAGTCTTTTAGCATTGAAAGGCTATTACAATTTGTTTCTATTAATCCAGACTTTGGAGAAGCAAGTGAGATCAGATAATTGATCAATTCTACAAGTATTATCATACATTTCCACAGAGACCACAAATGTAACTGCAGCTTGGGTATCCTTAAGAGCTACTTCAGCTACCAGTGACACTCCGGTGATAGCAAGGTGCAGTTCAGCGCTGAGTCAGTGTCCAGGTGTTTGCTTAGAGCTTGGAGATGTTGTATAGCCCAGAGGTGTTGTATAGCCCACATGGGCCCTGTTCTGGTGAATACCTCACTTTTTTTGGCCACCACACTGATTCAGATCTGACTTGGGTGTATTTACCTGAAATGCTGTCTCTTCACTGATACTAGGGTGTGCTAGACAAGTAACATAGACTAACTAACCTTGCATCTGGTTAAAATTAGATGAGATTAATCCCACACCAACACTACATACGCAGGAAAAAAAAAAAAATCACATAATATTCCACTGTTCTCATGGGTTCATAGAATAATTCAGGTTTGAACAGACTTCAGGAGGTCTCTAGTCCAACCTCCTCTTCAAGAGAGGGACAACTATGAGATCAAACCAGATTACTCAAGGCTCAATCCAGTCTCATCTTCAAAACCTTTATTTAAACATTATAGATAGGTAAGGAAATACAAATACTAAGCTTGTGCTTCTTATTGACCAGTTCTAAATTTTTCTATTTAATGTAGCTTACAGAAATCTGAGATCCAGCTATTGCAGGAAGCCAAACGTCTTAGTGAAAACCTGGAACAACAGCAACATGAACTGGAAAAAGCAGAACAGTTCCCTGAAGAATCTTCCAGTGAAGTTTGCCGAATAAGACAACAACTTCTTAGTTGCCAAAATGAATACAATGCTATTAAAGAAAGAGAGTATGAAATTCAGTTTAGAGTGAAATGGTAGGTGATAATGGTCAATCTCCACTTATTTTAAGTATAGTTTATGTAGAAAGATAATAACATAACCTCTTATTCAGTCTCCTCGCCATCTTACATGGATACATTTCTTGACAGTTATTATAAAGCAAATTGCCACGAATTTGCCGTAGTAACCACAACATTTTAGTGATAAATAAAATTACTCTGAAGTGTGATTTATAGTGTGGTTTGTAGATAATTTTAATTTTAGAAGGTGCCTTGGTGTCCTTTGAAATACTGTTTAAGATTTATTGCATTGTATGATTAAAATTTAGGTAGGCAAAAATTACGGCAACAATTCTAGTCTAGGACACCTTCAATATGAATTGTCTCAGAGACTCAGAGACCTGGCGACTGGCATTTAATGGAAACAATGTCATAAATGGGCCCAACACTATTTTAAACATCAGAAGCACACTTTATTCAGGTTTTTCTATTCAATTATTTACAGGAGGAGAAGTATTTGTATAATTTCATATCTGAAAAATGAGAAATTTTCTTTGAAAGGTATGAATACTTGACATTTCTATAAATAGGCAACAGTCCAGAATAAGCTTGATATTATTTACATTTTAATAATCTGTGTATATGAGTGTATTGTGCTTGAAGCTTCTATGGTAAAATGGTAGACAGTGCTATTTTAAAAATATGTACCTACAGAGATGAACTCATATTTTCATTTTGTGGGGTTCTTATATTTTTGGCCATCTTCAAAACAGTTTAGTTGGTAGCTAAACACAAATAAATAATCTCAGCAACTCAGCAGTTAAAATTATTTTTCTTCAAGGAGAGGAAGGGCACTGTACAAACTGCATAGAGCAAATTTTTCTGGCAGTTCTTTCTTGATTTTTTTTTTTTTTTTGTTAGAGCCAAATGTTTGCTCTAAGAGAGAAAGAAACTTGAGAAGGAAGCAAATTGGGACTGGGAGCAATAGAGGAATCATCTGGAAAAAATTACAGTTTTTTATGAGATAGCTAAACATCATGAGATTTCCTGAAATAATTACTAAATACAGAATTTATTGAAATTTACAAGCAGTCCAAAAACATTTTTTTCAAAATATCATGCTTTTTACCCATTTCCTTTTTTACATTACAAATATTTTCAATAATTTTGCATTACTTATCCAAACAATTATGGCGTTTTGTATGTTTAGGGGATATTTACTCATACTCTATTTTCTACCTCTAGTGAAAGGGAGATTTCTACAGAAACACAGGTTAGGTATTGCTTCTACTACCCTTGAACATTCATTGCATTGATTCATATATCTGAATTTAAAATAGTGGATTAAAAGTGTGGATTAAAAATATACTATTTAGGGTCAGCAATAGTGTGGAAAAAAAAAAAAAAAAAAAAAAAAAAAAAAAAAAGAAAGTTTCACTTTAATAAGAAACTTCCTCTGTTTGGTTTTATGTATTGCATGAGATCAAAACCATCTGTACAGTCTGACCAGAAGTCCATATGGCGCAGTATCTAAGAGCAACCAAAATCACAGCCCCTGGCAGTTTGTGAGGCAAGGACTTCATCAGCCAAATGCATTCCTCTGTATTTAGGAATCCTCAGCTGATCCTTCTTCCTTGAGCGTCTCCTTTCTCCCGCTGAGCCACATAGATATGTATGCTGCCAATCCTATTCATTCTACCCTACTCCAACACTAACATCCCTCTCTGCTCTGGCAAGTAACAAGAATGTAAGTGTGGAAATGAGAAACAAGCTATGAAGAAAAACAGAAAATGGATGTTAACACATGTTTGTAAAGAAACGATGGGTTGGTGCCTGTAAAATATAGTGAAAATCAGGGTCCAGAATAGAGTTCTGGTCCCTGTTGTTTTTTTTTAGAGTTCACCATAGCAGGTGATCTAAGAGTAACATCAATGTGAAATGAAGAGCTATACGTCTGGTTGTCCACATAGTAAAATTATGTCTTGAGATATATATGTGCATGGGCAGTGTCACAGACTGAGGGCAAACCTCATCAAAGATACTGTAAGTTAGCTGCTAGGTTCCCTTCATTTCTGGGAAGGATGGAATCCCATGTTCTTGACCCTTGATCTCTCTGGAGCACAGTTTCCCTCGTTGTCCAACTGTGTTGGACAACAGTCCCAGATGTGCTTGGCACTTGCAAGAAAACTTCTCTTTGGGAATTATGACTAACGGCTGTTTAGCCCAAAAACAAACATACTGCTTATTTACCTTCTGCTGTATACCAGGCAGGAAACTTGAAGGGGAAAAGTTTTTGAAGGGAATATCCACATCTCTTATCTATTCCTTTATCTTTTTTTTAGTCTTGGCTAAGATCTTGTCTGCTCAGAAATACGGCTGAGAAAGAGCCTCTGCAGACCTTCAATTTCCCTGTTTCTCTAATCCCTTCTTTCTTGGAAGCATTTCTCTATTCCCTGCTGTCTTTATGTCCTGCCTCCCTTTACTTTCTCTGATAGCTAATGTCATTCAGTAACCTTTGTCCATTCAGATTCAAAACTGACAACAGTAAACTTGGCTTTTTCTCTTGAAGAATCATGAAGATATACCATAACATAGGCAAAGTGATTTTGTTTGCCCCTTACTTTTCTATGTTCTTTCTTCCATGTTGCATTTCTTATTCGCTTTCCTCTGTAAACATTTTTTTCCAGATCAGGTACACTTTTCAACAGCTGAAGGTGCTATTTTTTTGTTCTAATTCTTTATCGTTTAATAAAATTATTTAAATTGTTTGCAGCACTGTCACATCAGCACATTTTCAGAAATATTGTGACATTTCATAGCATAAAAATAAGTGCATGAGCTATTCAGAAGCAGCTCTGAAGTGCTTTAGCTGTTGGGGATCCTTTCTGAAGGTGCCTGCAGGGGTGCAACATCCTTCCAACAAAGACATGTGGCTCTTCTTCCAGCTTATACTCCTGCTCTGTTTCACTGTTGTATGGGGCTTATGCGCCAAGCACAGGAAGCAAATAACAGCTGGAAAAGATTTTGCTGACATTATAAAGTTTGGACCACTACCCCAGACCCAGAGCTGACTCCAGAATTACTCTTCCTCTCAAATAATATTGGGCAAATGTAGCAAAGAGAAAAAATAACAATCCCAATTCAGTTATGGTTCAATTGCATTCAAACCCTTGAAGCTTCTTCATATAACTGGGACTGAGGTACCTCACTCAGTACAAATATACTCTGAAAAATCAGATCAGCAAGAGAACAAAAAAAGGATCAATGTGGTCAGCAAGGATGTGTTCTAGTTTGAGGAAATTTTTAATTTCACTAAATTTTTCATTGTAGTGCCTGTGGGAGTTAAAGTAAACAAATAAAGTATATTTTAAAAAGTAAGCTATTAACTTGAAATAAAATTATCTGTAATGGGATTATAGATGAGGCTAAGGGTGCCTCATTCTTGAGAACAATTTTCTTTCAACCCCCCAGTCTAACCTACAGCCCTCACAGTCATTTATCCAGGTAGCAAAATAGCTATTCATGAAGTCCTGTGTGCTATTGCAGGCAAGTCAACATTGCAAAACTGACTTAGTCCTTGTACAAGCATTACAAATATGGAAAATTGTTTCAATGCTTGCAATTATTTCTGGATTAGTCATTCAGTAATTACAAAATGAAAAGCTAAATTTGTATCCATAGTTTATTTAGTAAAGAACTAGAAGTAATAAGTAAATCAGGTTACAATTGAACTTGCTATCAACTAGTCTTGTGTCTGCATTCCCAGCACATACAAACTAAGCAGAGTTAAGAGCCTTACAGGAATGCCATGCTGGCAGCTTGTCAGCTGTGATATCTTGTCCTTGTGGTCACTAGATTTTAGCTGCGAGGTGCTGAGCAACTTCTGTGGGTTCCTCAGCACTCCCACCTGTGGAAGGGTAGCTGAGGGAGTTCATTTTCCTGTGTGATGGGATCCATAATGGTAGGAAGGTTCTGGTTCTTTGCTAGCTGAGGAACTGAAATGGACCTCTGTTGACAACTACCACCATATTTCTTAATTTCTGTGACAACTTTATTTCTGTGGCAGTTTGCATCTGTGAGCAAACATCTGTCAGAGAGACGTCTGGAATGTATTTTCATTAATGACCCAATATGCCTCATGCTTTTTTCTTAGCTCATTACATCTGCATCCATGATAGCTTTTCATGTACAGTACTGCTATTAAACTTCATGAAAATAAGTAAAGCAAAGTGAAAAACATTAGCAAATACTCCTCTTCTGCCCCCAGGTGTATGCTCCTCTCCTGCTCCACTGCCCTGTCTGGTACTCGCCAGTAAGCTACTTGAACTCTGAGAGACTTTTATACTCCCTGAAAGTAGGAAAAAAAAAAAAAGTTTATTATTTGTTGATTTCTCTGCTGTTCTGATGAGTTACTTTGGCTCACAGAGTAGTCCCCTAGGAACTCTGGAGCTGGCATGAGGGTTTTGTGGCCAAAAGCTGAGAAAAGAACCAGGGAGCGAGAGTTGAGATGCTCCATATTTATTAGTGGTAACCTATTAAACTGATTCATAACACTTCATGAGACCATGCCCTAAGAAAAGTAAGATAAACTCCATTAGTAACATTTTGAAACATTCATTTTATGCCTTAATTGCATCTTTTAAAAGGTAAGAAGGTAAATGGCATCTAATGAAAGCAATTTTTTGAAACTAAACTATTTTGCAAAACAGGAAAAAAAAATGTCGGGGAGAAACCACGAGTTTAAACAAAATAAAATGTAAAAAGCAATCCATGAAAGTGAATGCAAAGTATGAAAAATTAATATAGTAAATGATTTAAATGTTCACATTTTTAAAATTATTACCTAAAAAGATCTCTCCTCGCCCGCCGCTGCCGACGCGAGCCGAACGCGCTGCTAGGCCGCTACCGTGCAGCGCACTCGCTCCTCCTCTTCGTCCTCACCTCTACTCTGCTCTGCCTCTGCCTCGCCTTCTCCTCACGCTACTATCCTCCGCTCCTCTCCTCTTCGTCCTCTCTCTCCTCTCCTCTCCATCTCCTCTCTCTCCTCTCTCTCTCTCCTTCCTCTCTCTCTCTCCTCTCCTCTCCTCTCCTCTCCTCTCCTCCTCTCTTCTTTTACCCTTTCCTTTCTTTTGGCTCCATTTTCTTTTTATCCCTGTTTATCAATGTTTTCTGTTGGTCTGCTCACTCTTAAGGCAACTTCGCTTGGTGCTTGCAGTTCCCTGTTGCCTTTGTTCACGTCACAGAAAATGAGGTGTTCAAATCATTTTACTTTTGATGGATGGAAGAGTCTTTGTGGTGAAGTTGGAATGGCTCCACAGGAATCTGTCCTCATGAGTGAGGAATGTGACAAAAGAAAAACAGTGTCAGCTATGTTCTCCTCCTAATTTTTAGGATTGCTCTTTTGATCATCTGGCATGATATTAAAGAGGGCACAACACAGGCCAATGATGAGCTCTTTAATCAGTTTGAGCATGACTTATTTAATCAGTTTTTGTGGCAGTCAGAAAGCTATGGGTGTTTGTGCAGAGTGGACATTCATTAATGTGATTATGCCAGTCCCAAGGAGTCCTGCTAGGAATCCTGCTGAAATGTGTTTTGGATACAAATTGTCCTTATTAACTTATTAATATGCTTAGACAACCTGTTGGTAAGTGAAAATATTGTGTTTGACCAGCATAGCATTCCAACACAGGACTCAGCTGTATAGTGCACAGAACCAAAGCTGCTATCACTGATTCAAAGTGGCTCAACTTCATCTCAGTTTGATCCAATGTTGTCTATAAACAAAGCTACACTAAAGGAGTAGCTCCTGAGCCCCACTGCAGCAAAGAAACCACCTGATGTTTCCTTCTACTCACTTGGACTTGCACTGTATACCTGCAAAACACTCCTGTGTCTGTCTGCACTCTTCTGTGCAATTTCTGAAGTTACAGTAGTCTTTGCAATAAAACTTTGTTTTACAATTCTTTTAATAATATTTGGGGTAGGGGGGAAGAAGACTGATCTAAATCAATTTTTTTTTCTTTGAAAGTCTTTTTTTACACTCATTCACTCTGTGCGTGTTCAAACACTGACATTCAAAATTGTTTTTAGGCTTAGCAGTCTTGATAGAGGCATGCCTGCAGTCTGACCAAACGCATATACATACATGCTGTAAAACAAACTAAAAAAATCTACTCTGTGCCTTTATTTCCTCTGTGTTGTCCATCTGATTCAGTGCTTGCTCTTTGTGAGTTTTTGGACTGTAGCATTGACTACATAGGTTAAGATCACCTTGGCTATTCTATTTAGCTTTCTATTACACCCAGTTGCCTTAGTCTACAACCCCTGTCAATTTTCAGGACATTGTTTTTTGTCACGAGAGCCCATTTAGATTCAATGATCTTTACTTACAGTTGTTTACAGCATGAAAGTGTATGTGAACAGTCAAAGAAAGAAAGTTTCTTACCAGCAACTGCACTTCCTTTGATGTGTGATGTCTCTGTGGATATTTATAACCCACCTACTCTTTCCTTTTGCCTCAGCTCCAAATTAAAATGCTGTGTTCTGCGGCTGGGAGGACCTGTGGGCGTAGTGTGCCTTCTGACCCCTTATATTTTGTTAGCTTAAGCACAAGGGTGAAGGAGGAACACCTGTAGAAGGTGGTAAAACTAAGAAAAATCAGGTTCAAAAATGTAGAAAAAGAAAAAAAGAAAAAAAAAAAAAAGCATGTGTGGTCTATCTTTCATAGTTCCAGCTACTGTTCAGCAATCTTTCTCTAAGTTTGGACACCTTTAAATTGTTCCTGAGGGTGATCACCATATATTTTAATCTAACGCAAGATTGGCTTCAATACTTTTTCTATTGTTTGATATATTACTAATATATTTAGCTCTGCTTTGATTTTCTTGTAGTTTGCAAGAAGAGAAAACACTTCTGGAAAAAGAATATGAAAGAATTCCAAAACAAAGTGTAAGTATGAAACATGGGAAAAGATATGTTTTGTGTTGTCAACTAGTGTATTAAAACATCAATGAAAATATTTTTACAGTGTGTAGCTCTAGAGTTCTTTCAATTACATAGAAAAATTAACAGTATATCATTCCGGTTTGGTAACTCTAGGGCAAGCAGTGCATACCTGATTCATAAAAGATATTCTTAAGTTTACTCAACAATATTTTCTACTGTATTCAGTAAATGGATAGCTGCAGGTTCTAGGAGGTGAGTATGGAAAATTCATTTGCAGACAGAAATCCTGATAAATTCATTTGTGTTTGTTGGAAATAAAATTCTGCTCATTATTAATCATATTTTATACCTTGTTGTAAAAAAAAGTTATCATAATTCAATGCCAATGAATTTTCTAATAGCACAAACCTGCAACTGTAAAAGGGAAAATAATAACCTGATCTTCTACTTAATTTTTAAAGGAAGCAGATAAGAGAATTAAAAAGTTGAAAGAAAATTGTGACGAGCTCAGCAAAGAAGTAATTCAAAGAAAAGCAGAAGTTAATGCAATGAAGGAAGACATTTTATCCAAGCAAAACCTGATGTTAATAGACAAGAAAGAAGTGGAAAAGCTTCTAGAGAACCAGGATAATTTAAAAGTAACACAAAATTAATTATATCTCTGTGTGTGTGTGTGTGCATATGTGTATACAGGTACATGCATTTGTGCAAGGGAGTAGTGAATCTCCTGGATGTTGTCATTGCAAATCACTAAATGTACTTATTTCATCATTTTTCAATAATCATGAAACATGCTGCTGTGCTATTTTCACTATTATTCCTTCAGGAAATAATGAAAATCCTGGTTTTGATAATAACAAATTGTTTTCAGAATGCCGTATTTGCTATGCTGTGTTATTGAATGCTGCTCTAATACATGCTCAGATCCAAGAGACTTAAAAATATGCACCCAGGTCTTTGCAACTTTCCTTTCCATGGTATTAATAACATATGCCAGCATATTAAGAATATTCAAATGTATTTTTTGTTTTGCACACATAATGACATGGTAAATACCATAATGTTTAATTTCCACAGTAGCAGCTACTATTCCCTGGGTCAAGCTCAAGTAATTTGTAAATACATTTCTTGCCTAGTTTCACAGCAGTTCAATGGGAATATTAATTCTGTGAAATCACACCAGATTTTGAGACTATTAACCTAACCTTTCTGTTTTGTTGCCAGGATGAGCTAGTTAAGATCCTTGGTGTTCCAGCACAACTTGGAAAAGAAACTGAGAAGATAAAATGGAAAAAAATGTATGTTTTCCATAAAAAATTAAATATATATGCATTACTTATTTTCATCCATTTGTTATTGAGACTTTAGCATACAGTTGGTTAAAATTAAGATCAACATTTTCAAAATCATTTATAATCCAGTTAAAATCCATGCACTGTACAAAAAAAAAATATATATATATATATACATATATATATACACTATATATATATATCTACTATATACATATATATATAGCATATGCAGTGATGCAGTGAAGCAATTTATGATTAAATACCTTCTTCTAGTGGAAGGTGTCCAGGCCCATGGTGGTGGGATTTGGGCTAGAAGACCTTTAAGGTCCCTTCCAACCCAAGCGTTCTGTGGTTCTACAGAATTTAAGTACAATGAGGAACAATTTAGAACAAAGCTTAGTTGAAAATTGCTTACCCACTCTACTGCACTGCAATAATATGTATCAGATCTACTTACTAGGTTTTAACAGATAATAATGCTATACTATGTATACTGTGTAATCTAGCAATTAACCTTTTTTAGATATTCTAGGCCTCAGTGACAGCATGTTAATTTATCTCTGTTGGCATCAGTGAAACTGCAGCAGTTTTCACAGCTGACAGCCTGGTCTGAGCAAAATAACCCTTTTCCCTCAGTGCTTATGCAGCAGTTTTTTTTTCAGGTGTGTTTTACTGTGAGCTCCCATCATGAATTCTGGTGTCAAATATTTCAGCTCAGAAATATAAGCCAGTCTCTAGCCTTTCATTTCTCTATTTTCATGTAGCTGTTTTGTCCTCCATCGGAGCATGACGTGCTGCTTTCTGCATCTGTAAAATCTAATTGTTGCTGTGCAATGTCAGCCAGGTCACTCCCAGATGCTGGCAGTCAAATTGCCATCCAGCTGAACAGTGCTTTTTGTGCCCTTTTAGTTACACAGAAGGTTTTGTGTCTCCTGCTTGCAGTCCCAGTTTGTAATACAGTAATTACTTGACAATGTTAAGTTTCTCAGTTCTCAAATTTATGTAATGGTTTTCTTTAACTTTCTCCTCAGTACTCTGCTTAATGTAACTGTGCTGTAATAAATCTAAGAAGTTTTCCCTACAGAGCTAGAGGAAAACAGTTTTGAAGAGTGGGTGCATCATGTAGATTATTAATGAGGTATTTAAATGAGTCTTTCTCCTTAAGTGATATCACAGAATGAACTCGCCAGAGCTTCCAGCCTTGGGAATCGTGTTTAGGAGTGTCACAACCCTGCACCTAGTCATGCTGACAGAAGTCTGTTAACTCTTTATAATACTGTCAATGTGCTAAGCCACCTGTCAGTCTCATGGCACTTTTATTGTTGAACTGTATTGGCACTTTCAATGCCAATTTTCAGTGTATGTAATCTGGTTTTGAACATATCAATTAGATAGCTGTGGCACTGAAACACTTTTGTGTGTTCATGAAAACTTACAACTTTCATTTTCACATTTAACTACACATGTAGAAATGTGAACTTCTACTGTTTTGTTAAAATATATCCACAGTGATGCAGAGAAGAAGAAAGAAACCCTTAATAACCAAATACAGGAGTTAAACAATACTCTAAAAGCCACTGAAAAAAGGATGGAAGAGATTTTGCAAGAAAGAGAAGATGTAATGAAGGAATTGGACGGAAAACAAGCTTTGCTAGAAAGCAAAAAACAAGAATGTGTTGCTCTGACAAGATTGTTAGAAATTGGCAGAGAGAAGGAATCAGCAATCCTAGCAGACAGGTTAGAGCAGTAGACCTAAGCTGTGGAGTGTGAGTGAGCACTTCTCTGTTCTGAAAGATCTTTTCTCTGTTGCATTGCTATGCTTTCAAGTTTTATGTTGCAATCAGCGCAGACTAGAAATTATCAGGCTTGGTTTTCACTTCAGAAATGTTTATATAAACTGCTGGAATCTAGGATATGGCTTGAAGAAAAAGTTAAAAGGCATAAGTATTTGATAAAATCCTGGGAGAGTGAGACTCTAGGTTTTGCTCTGAAAGGGCAAAGAGAGAGTTTATCTCTCCAGTGAAGATGCTTTTTCTTTCTTTTTTCTTTTTTTTTTTTTTTTTCTGTGTAGCCCACAGAAAGTAAACTAAGCAAATTAATTAAACAAATAATCAGTATTCTCATTTTCAGATGAGCATTGCAAATTTCTGACCCACACACTGCCTGAATTTCAGTGGGAACTGGCCACGTATCTTTCATATTCGCTTGAAATTATGAGCTTAGATATACTTAGTACAGTAAAATAAACTTTTAGATTGATTTCAAGCTTCACATTATTCCTTCTTTGCAAAGGAAGATGTCATACCCTCAACAGCAATGCTTTTTGCCTTTGAAATCTTGTGTTTGATAGTGGCACAGTAAGTTGAAATGTCCAAGGGAAGCCATACTAATGGCCTCATACTAAAAAAAAAAAAAAGTGTTTTCTTCCAGTTATAATTTATTTTCTATAGATTTTTTTAGCAGATGTAGATTGAACAGGCTGTGAAACCTCATTGATGTAATTAAGAATGTTATCACTGATTAAAGCTATCAAAAAGTTACCTGCTTATTTTAAAGCAACCAGTGACAGTAGTTTATAACTTGATCTTGCTACTCATAGATAATTAATGCAGTACTCAAACCCCATTAAAATGATCATGCCTGATTCATATGTCTTGCTCAAGTTACCTGTTTCTAAAATTCTCTGTGTATCCAATATAGAGAACTTCTGGAATATAATTTAAAAAAATGTATTTTGGAGAAAAAACAAAAACATGATACTCTCATTCACAAGCAAACACTGAAAGATAGAGAACTGAGAAAATTAAAGAAGATGGAGTTACAGCTGAATGTGATTAATGAGTCTTTGGAACAAGATAAATCACAGCACAAGGAGACTCAAAACAGAGGTCTGTATGAACATATTTATCATAAGAATTCCAAATTTTCTTACAGGCAAATCCATCTATGAAATCTTTTGACTGGTCCTAACAGACAGAAGGAGAGAAAATTGTTCTAGGTGTGTGTCTTTTCTGTGTTCTATGCACAGAAATGTACCACAAGTAGTTGCTACGACTAAGGAGGCTCAAGGTTTTACAGCTGTAACAAAACTACTGCATCAAGCTATATTGAGCTATTCGTGAAGAGTGGAATTTAGGCTGGGAGCATCCTAATCAAAGAGACCTGGCAGATTATTGGCACTGTGGCACCATGTCTTCCTTTAAAATACTGAGTGATTATGGTCATTTTATACGTGACATAGTACAGTAGCTTGCCTATTGGCACCAGAGAATTTTGTATCTGGCAAATAAAGCTAAGTATTGCATGAATCCCGGGTCTTACATCAGGTGACAAAAAGATTCATCTTTTTCAAATTTGAAGATTGCTTGCACAATGTTCTAAATAATTTATAATGCATTTAACATTATTCTTGGGGGCAGGAAACAAGCCCTATGTAAATTTGGTATTAAATGATATAATTCCCTATTTCATTTCCACTCAAATTTCACTTTTCTCAGTTCTCTCCCTACATTACTAATTCACACATTACTCTTTTCATATTGATTTACTCTTTCCTGTTTTATTTATTCTGCTTTTAAAGAGCAGATTCATTCTGTTTGTCCATTTGAAACAATTCCTTCCTTCTGTCCTTCCCTTTCTTTCTTAAAAAAAAAAAAGAAAAATTGTTTACAACTTTTTCATATTCTTTTTCTCTCGTCACTGATTCTTCTAGTCCTTCTTTCTTAAGCTTTTTTTTCTATATCCCTTCCTATATTGAAAGTCAATCTTATAAAACTCATCTTACATAGTCAAGTAAATATATTTTTTCCCCAGGAGAATTATTTATCAATTATCTGATTTAGAAGCATAAGGGGTTAATGTTTCCTAATTTGATATTGTGTCACTGCAATTTTTTTTATCCATTCTAAGCAATTCAGGCAGGAAAAAAAAAGTCTTATTTACATCACTGTAAAATTGTTTTTACTGTCTGAATAGGGGATATTCAGACAAAGATGAAATTTCCTCCTGAATTCACATATGTATTAATCACCTGGTAATCCCAGCCTACCTGGGGAGGGGAGAAGCTCTATATAATCAGACAAAAAATTTTAAACTGAGTTTCCTGAACTGTTGATTAAAGGGCATGCTGGGCATGCCTATATTCCAGACTTTGATATTAAAAGCTCATATAGAGATTTTGTTCAGTATCAGCTTAGAGAATCTGAGATTTATTATTTTTTTTTCCCTGTGTTCCTATTGAAGAAATATTCCTGGAGGAAGAATCACAATTGTTCAGAGACATGTAATGTTAAAACCAAATGCCATAACTCACTGACAGCTGTGGTTAAAGTTCACTGTCTTGGGCGAGATCCCAACCCAACCGCTTTACACTGTGTGAAAGGGCTGGAGACCTGTAATGGGATCATAAATTTTAAAGTTGCATTGAAAGGATTCCCTCAGAGCTACGCCAGGTTATTCTGCAGGCTTGTATGGGTCTTGCCAGTTGCAGCATTAGGAGGAGCAAGGGAAAGGGAATGCTGCTAAGAGATAAAAATGTAGTTACAAGCAATGTCTTACTCCAGAAGTTACAGGATAGTACCAGAGCATGACCAGGCCAGGAAAATATAGTCTTTTTAGCCCACCAACCCTGTTCTCTAATTCTCTTTGCTCTTTTAGAAGAGCAAATGTGAAAACATCTCTGCCCTGCAGCATGGTAGTTCAAATGCAATATTGGAGTAAGAAAGTCTGGAGCAGCCAGCTTAATTCTACTTTGCATCTGCTATCTTGAGATAATTTTCATTTAGAAGACTTGGGAGCACAGAATTTAAAATATTTTATTATTCAAGTGGTTCAAGTGCCTGTTTGACTGATATAAGCCAGGTTGCATAAATTGCATTTATTCAGTGTGATTCCAAGTGAAATTTTCACTGGAATTAATTGCTAATATAAATGCTGCAGAAACAGCAGTACATCAGTGTGTTGCCCCCAATTTCTCTTCAATTGTCTGCACAAGTGCAGAATGACTTTGTGTAGAATAAGGAAATTACACGAACACTTCCTTCAAATGTGTTTTTCTTCTTGTTAAGTTGTGAAAGGTCAGCTATTGCTAAACGTCGACATTCTGTGTGAAAGAGAACTGGCGGCCCTGGCTGCCACCAGCCCCAGAGCAGGGCTGCTGTTCCTCTCCCTCCATGGACGTGCTTTCATCTAGCAACACAATGCAAGGACAGCCAAAATTGCCTAAGTTTAGTCCTGTCTGATGTCTAAGGACGAGAGTCCTTAATGGATTAAAGATGTTTGTATGAGCTTTCTACATTTAGACTCGAACCTGATGGCATCTCTTGAATCCAATCATGGAAATAGTGGAAATGTCTGTTTACAGCCACCCCAGCCTTTCTCACAGCAGAAGTGGTAACTGAATGCAAACAGTTGTAGTGGGATTGTTGAGATGTATTTTAATCAGAAAATAATTTCTTCCCTTACACATTTCATTTCAATTTTATAATAAACAGATTCTCCGATATTGTATAAAAAAAATATGTAGCACATAACCATGTTACTTGTTTGGACTTTCTAAAGGCTAAGGAGGAAAAATATATACATATTAAAAATGACACAGGCATGAAATAACAACCTCATTAAAATTATTGGTATTTTCTTCCTTTAGCAAGATCAGAGTTAACATATTTATGTAATTGGTTTTTCTGATATATATATTTTTTTATTTGTGGCTTAGTTGCTGAAAAGAATAACAAGTGTACATTCAGTTACTTAAATTGGGCTTTGTGAGGTTCAATCCTTACAGTTAAATTCTGAATAGAAAAGCTTGAACAACTTGCAAGTATTGCTGAGGAGCTCTACTCAACAACCGATAACTCTTGGATTAGGTACTATCACAAACCAGAAAAAGAAAAAAAATATAATTTCATAATGTATGTAAGTAATTGAAACAGATTTTCTGCATTTTACATTTTTCACACCTTTTGTTGGCATCATACAGAATGTGTGATTTATTTTTGTAGGCAGAAGCTATCCCTAAAAGTAATGAAGTACTATTAGAAAGAAGACGAGAACTGCAGAAGGAGATTGAAATGAACAAGAGAAGTTTAGCTGAACAGGTGATGTGTTCTGCTTTCTCATACTTACTCACTGTAACAGTTGCTTTACAGCTATGAGAATAAAGGGAATAAAGAAAAAATAATGAGCATTTCTAGCTGCGTCTTTCTGGTGAGAAAAGAAAAGAGTATTTTCTTCAGTTTTAAAGACTGGTTGCTTGTCATATTTAGAAAACATTTTTCAGTGTTACTGGTCACATATTGGAAGGTAGAAAACACATTTTTTTTCTAGTTTAAGTCCTTCTGACTATCATTAACTATACTGCAGCTAGAAATATGATGCATGTAAATTTTCTTTGGGTATGGCACAGTATATTGTTAAAACAAGGACAACTGAGAATTGCTAAATTAAATTTAAACTAAATTTTTCATTTTCATAGTTTTATCATTTCATAGAATCATGGTTTGTGTTGGAAGGGACCTTAAGGACCATCTAGTTCCAAATCCCTTGACATGGGAAGTGACAACTTCTAATACATTTATAGTTGCCTGTTAATACTGACCATGGTCAAATACACTGTGGAAATGCAGATTCTTCAACTGTAAGAGTATCAGTACTTGCCACTATACAGATGACTTTATAACAAACAATATATTTCAGACATTTTTTTCTTAAGATCATATTCTCTTATCTTCTTACCCTCATATACATTTTTATTTTGTGCCCTCTTAATTAGGTTTTTCAGGTGGAATTCAGCTTGGTTTTGAATACATAGGCATTTCTATATCACTATTTGTATATGGGATATGTTTTTAATGGACCACAGTAGTCAGTAATGCTCTCTATATTCTTGGTGAAGCCTGGAAATAGGCTTATTTAAAGATTATAGAGGGATGTAAGTGGATTCAAAGATTACACAAATAACTGTTCTGATCATTTAACCTTAGAAAAAGTCCAAGTCTTGATTTTAAAATTGCCAGTGTGGGAGAGACAACCACAGTTCCTGCTAAATTGTTTTGGTGGTTAATCTGTGTTAAAAATGTGTGCTTTTTATCATCTGAGTTTGTCTAGCTTTAGCTTTCAGTCACTGGATTTTGTTATGTTTGACTTCTAATTTGGGAAGTCTGTTATCAGACTTCTATTCACTTTATGGCTACAACAGACTCTGATCCACTTATCCTCCCATCTTGATTTAAGGAGATCTCTTTGAGATTCTTCATGTAAAACTTGTTTTCCAAACCTGTTGTAGTGAAGATCGCTGCATAGTCTAGTTTTGTTACTTTTCTATTTAATAGCTGAAAGACCTGCTAGATTGAGGAAGAGAAACTTCCTAGGTGATAAAATATTTTAACTTGTTGCTAAGGGATTATGCATAACATTTCAGCTGGTATCTTTAAGGAAGTTTTATTACATATTCATATTTAAATCCATGTAGTCCATATATATGTGCACTTTGCAGGTAAACCCAAAGTGTTTCAAACTTCAGTTTTGTCAACACTATCGCATAAATCCATAAGGAACTGAATTTGCTTTTCTTCAGGAAATGATATCAGATACGGATGCCCGCACATTAGACGAATGTATCACTGAAGAGAGACAGCTTTTCAAAGAGCAGGAAAAATACAGGAATGAGTTATCCAGACTTGCACATCTGACATTGCTCAAAGTTGAAGAGAAGGAGCAAAAATGTAGGGAAGTTCAGAAAGCCCAGGTAAAAAATTGTATCTCATATAATTAGAAGAATATTCTAAAGTAAAAGCTGGTATAAGGAGAAATTAAATTACTGGTGAGGGGAACATTACAGACTCTCATTTCCCTCTTCAAAGTTCCACCACCAGGCAGGAAGCTCTCAGTTCTCTTGTTTTAGTGGCAATTCATGGTGCAGTGCAGCAGTGTGCTGCAATATCACAACACAATTGAAACAAGGTGTTTGAAAGGAGGTTTTCTTTCTAAAGAATAAAATAAATAATTCTGAAATAAAGAGGCAGAAAAGCAGATAGCTGAGATTCTCAGAAGTACAACAACCGTGTGTTTTATTGTGCAAATATGTGGACATTAGAAGATAATAGACCTGCTACTTATTCCAAGGCCAGGTGCCAATTTTTATTTTCCTGATACACTTCAAGGTTTAAGTCATTCTATTAATTTGAAGGAAGAGGGAAAGAAAACTTTTTCTTCTGAATAGTCACTGGGTTTGCTGGCATTATAGTATTATGCATGGTCTATGATTTTGCACAGTCTGCACTAAATACCAGGAACAAACTGGTTACACTTTCACAATGTATGTCTGTATTAAAATAAATCAGATAAGCTGCCCCTATAGCACTTTGGGAATATTTGACTGTCTACAGAAATAAAGTCAAAGGAGTATGTCAGGCTTTACACATTTGTTAAAAATAAGTCCATAAACAGGCTAAATCATAAAGAAAATAAATTAACACAGGTTGCCCAGGATAGCAACCCAAGATCCACCAGCTTTTCCTAATGCCAGTACAACCTCCTCGTATCAGTGGGAGGTGAGAGAAGGCCTGTCCACTAAAGGGTAATGACCCAGACTATTAAGAACCAAACAGAACTGAAATCAAAAGGTAAGAGCCCTAACAAAATGTGTGTCATTCTACTTGAATCTGTAATTGTTTAAAAGGCAGGAAAAAAAATAATAAATAAATAAAGTGAAAAAGGAAGTGCACCAGAAATTCAAGGTACAATTTCAGTGGTGCATATGCCAGACAATTATATTGTGATGGAGTGGCTAATTAACAGATACAATAGAACTCCAGAAATCATTTTAAGATGCAGCATCAAATCCGTTATCTACATTAACAACAGTCATTGTAAGATTAGTATACATAGACTTTGCTCTTTAATGTTACAGTAAAAGTATTTCATTATAATTAGAACAAGTTCTTGGAACAATTCTGCCTCACTGTCTTTTCCTCATCTAATAGGAGTAGCTGTTTCAGTCACTTCTTTGAAGATATTTCTTTGAAAAATCTAAAAACATTAGATTTTTAGATTAGAAAATTCTGAAGTGCTTACTGAATTCTATTTTACATTTCAGATACAACTCCAAAATAGTCTTAAAGAAATAAAAAGAAAGGATCTTGAAATAGAAGTGTATAAAAAGACAAAAAGAAAAATCCAAAAACAGTAAGAAAATAATAATGATACATTTAATAAAATAATGCCTTTTAAAGCATTTTTATTGAGATAATGTGTGCATTAACTTACAATAATTAATTCTTATACACTTGTCTTTTCTTCAGACTCAAAGGATTTACTAAAATATGTGATGTAATCCAAAACGAAAGGAATAAATGTATAAATTTGGCACATATTGCTCAGCAGAAAGTAACTGAACTTAGAAACCGGGTAAAATTGATAGAAAATAAAATAGAAACTTTAAGGAATACTGTGATAACCAAAGAAAGGTGAGTTTTAACTAAGCTATAGCTCACAATTATAAAAATAGGAAAGAATTACAGAAAACCTTAAGAGATAATCCAGTTCCGCTACACCTATTTCTTCCTTGAAAGCCATTATCCTGATTTTTAAAACCTGATCCAAACTTAGAAATGTTGCGACACCCTTACATAATTCTCTCCAATTTCTTATCACCTTAACAATTCACAGTTGGGGTGTGATTCTATTTTATTTTTTTCCTGGATCACTGTTTAGTGGAGATGCCCTTTTGCAGTCTTTTTGTCATCCTAGTGATGATACTCTGCTTGGTGCTATACAGACGGAATGACAATGTCTCTGAAACTGGAAGCTGGGAAAGCAGGAAGCTAGCAAAGAGTTAATTGTGTATGCAGAGCAGCACAAAAATTTGTTTTGCCCCAAACTTTGTTTTCTGGTGCCAACAAAAAATTGCACAACCAGACCTAAGAATGTGTTCAGGGTACACTCACCCAAAATATATTTTGAATCTGCATGTAGCTTTATTTCAAAGTCATGCTGGAGGAAGAGAGAGAAGAAGTGGCACTTCACTGATTTAAGTCATTTTGTTGAAATGCACAAACTGACATTTTGTGCTAAGATTGTTGAGGTCTTCCCAATAAATTCCTGCTGAAAGGAGAAGAAATGCTAAAAAGAAGGGTATATATATTGTCTAGACATCCAAAATAACTCATTGTTGTGCACTGGACCATACTCCAGTAGACACCCAACAGACATTTTGATTTCTGCAAACCTGGATTTAAAAGTAGCTAAAGGTAATGAATTATCACTAATTTTGTACCCTATGGGAAATATTTCTAGTCCCAGTAATATACTTTAGTATCATGGTATTCCTGACTTAACTGCAAGCTACACAATTTAGAGGACAGAGCATCAGTCCAAAAAGATAAAGGCTCTTCATAAACTATTTCATAATACATTGCATTTCTGCAATACTGCCATTCTTTCACTCTCAAACTTGCTTTACAAAGGTTTAATTCAATACAGTAATACCCTCTGGACCTGGAAAGTGTTATGCATACAGGCAAAATGAACCAGAAAGAAGCTCACAACTTTGCATGGAGTAATTCAGCAGCTTAATGCTGGAACCAAGGGTGGGAAGCGGGACATTTCATTTGCAGTTCTGTATTTTATCAGGAGACAATGCTTCTTCTTTCACTACCTCTTTCATACTTTGACATTAATATCTTCCCCGTGTAGCTAAAGTAGTGTCTTGCTCAAGAAATGATGCTTACCACAGATTAAATGCAGACAGTCTAAGTTCCTTGTTAGCAAACAAATGACCCATGTGGCAACAAGAAGCTGTCTTTAGAGCAAGGGACCATCATCCAAAGGCTAGCAGGGTCTCTTGAAATAATGTGTTCCTTTCTTCATTTTTAGGGATCTGTAATAGGAGCTTGTCACTGATCTGATGTTGTGATTGTTTTGTTTCTCATTGATTGATAATGTTTGTTCTTGTGTTGCAGTGTGCTATAAACTCAGAGACCTTATTTAAATATTGCTCCTAAAATGGAGAGAAGGACAGGTTTTCTACACACGGAGAATTTGCATCATAGTTTATACTTCTACTCTTGAACTTTATTCCTTGTGGCCCCTTGGGCTACCCAGTAAAGGACAGAGCTGTGGTGCAGGGCTCCATTTCAAGCACTTAGCTGGGTTGTAATCCAGATCAGTTCAAGCTGGAAAGAACTCATACAGAGAAGCTGTTCTCAGAGGGACTTTCTACCTCTTGTAGTGTGTCTGCCAAGCAGAGTGACATAGAAGATCCTTTGTGTATTTTAGGATTTAGTTTAAGCTCTGTTTTTAATAGCTGAAATTACTTTCAATTTAAAAGGACTAAAAACTTTCCTGCTTTTCTGTTACGTTAAAGAATACTGCAGAGACAATATCTGAAGAATACAAGTAATGTAGCAATTAAAGACAGTCTCAAAACTGATTACTCCAAACTTGAACAAGTCATGGATGAGATGAAAGAAAAGAAAAAGCAACAGCTTCTGGATCTTGACAGACTTACCAATATTATCTCCCGCATTGAAGAGGAAATTGTGCAGCTACGCAAAAAATACGAAAGGGCTATTCAGCAAAAAAATGAGAGGTATACGTGTAAATTTAATGTAATAAAATGTGTAATTTTGAAATTCATCAGTCAACAATATTTTTCAACTTATGAGCAAGTCTAATTAGGAATACTACAGGGCTGCCTTACTCCAGTGCTTCATAAACAGCCCACCTCACTGCAGTGCCAGTGCTACTGTGCATTATCCAGGTGTTTGTTGTTCCTCCATGGATGAAGACAATTGTTCTTCAGAACTGTTACAGAATCTAATCTACTGAATGCCTGGAGAGCTTGTAGCCTTCTGCTCTTTTTGATCTTTGTGTACGTTTCTTGTATAAAAATACAGTTGTAGAACTCTCTGATCCTGTTAATCCACTTTAAAAGGAATGCTGAGGGAAGCCAGAAGAGCTTTAAAAATCATATGAAACACCAGGGTAACCTTTGCAATTGTGTGTTCTCCAGTTTTCACATTGTAATTATTTTGTTCTCTATTTAAAGCACATTTGGTACATTTTCCTAGATTATCACTATCATCTTCCAAGCTTGCCAGTTATGTTCTCAAATGGAATACATTGAATATGAGTCAAAAATTTTTAAGTCTTACCTTTTCATTTTGGGCTTATTGCAGTGGTCTTCTGCTCAAAAGTCGAGAAGAAGAGGTATGCATTTTGTATGAAAAAATAAACATGCAAGAGATATTGTGTAGAAATGGAGATATTGAGATGCAAGCTATGGATGAAAAGATCAGTTTTCTGAAGATGAAGGTAGCTGAGAAGAAGAGACAGATTGAATTTTTGTTTAAAGCACTACCAACGAAGAAAGCCCTGGATGCAGATTTGGTGGTACTTCAGATACAGGTTGGTGGGAAAGAAACCTTTACCTTTCTGTTTGTTTGATTGATTGTTTGCTTGAATTATTCTGTATTTTAAAACAAAGCACTGCTGCATGCTTTTAACATCAAATTTGTGAGTTTCTAGCTTATGACTCTGACACTTTGCCTTGCACATACCAAACACTGCCTGGCTGTGGAATCTCAGCTGGTCCTCCCCATAGCTGTAAATGTCAACATGACTAAACTGGAGAAGAGTAGTCATGGGGAAAAAATGGGAATGGAGATAAAATTTGTTAAAACTGTATTGATGGGGGTAGATGGAAGGACGGGGATATACTTAGGTCTTCAAATTCCTGAAATAATAACTCAATTCACACTTGACTGTGAGCCTACTCTGGAAACTGCAGCCCACAGTGATGCCACGTACATTTTCTTCTACACAAAAACAGCTGTAAGTTTTAGTTCTAGTTACAACATGACATTAAACAATTAACAAACTGCAGTGTTCGTCATTGTTCTGGACATTCTTTCCTTGCTTTCTGAAATGGCTCATTTACTTTTGACCTTATCTCCAGATGGTAATTTTTTCCATATATACTCAGCTAGTGCCTGCACAAAATAATAAAGTATGGTGTACCATTGCCATCCGTAATTGCTTGATGGGAGCTGTGACTCACTGTTAAATAGTGCTTGCACTATTCTGTTACGTTTGGTCTTTTAAAGAAATTATATGCTCTGCTAAAATAATAAAATTTTCTATAATACCTTACACAAATCATTCCCCAAACTGTACAGTGCAATTACAGATTTCAATGATGAATAGAGAAGATATGAAAACCATGTGATAGACTGAAGAAAATAAGAGATGTTTAAAGGTAGGACTTAGAATGAGGACTGAGAGTCACAGAGTCAAATGCAGCAACGACAGGCAGATAGTTTCTGTGAACTGAGAGTCAGCAGTGAAACTTTGATTATTGTGTTCTGAATTCCTGAAACTTTCTCCTTTATGATGATTGTTTGTGTGAAGTCACAGTTAAAGAGAAGCTGCTGATACAGACTCTTTACATCTTTTTGCAATAACAGCATAAAATTAAAAAGTAGGAAAATAGCTTTGGGAGGCACAGAGTAGTCTCAGTAAATGTTCCCAAGTCAAAGATTTGTCACTGAACAATAATCACAACCGTGATTAATCAAACTATTGGGTCTCAGCTTTTTACTGTGGTTACTGAAGCCGTGTTACATAGTTCAAAGTGGCCATGAACACAGCCATCTCCTTGTACTCAGCCATTCTAGCGTTAGTGCTGTTCCTCCTGCTGGCAGTAGCCATTATGTCTAGTGAGAAACAGTTTCAATCCATTTGGCTTTATCTCCATGATTCAAATAAAAGCCATAAGCCCAAAGCTGAATTCTGGTGTTGGCTGCAAACTTCAGCTCACTAATTTCTGTCCAGATTACAGCTTTGGCCCCATGTTGAAATCCAACTCAGTTCTGTTACAATGTGCCAAGCATTTTACTATAACATGCTCATTTGCACAAAACTCTGACTTGGTGTGCTCAATACAGACCTAAATCACTCATCTTGTCTGTGAATCCAACCTCTGATGCCAAGCTGAAACCTGAAGAGTTGTCACCAGCTGCTCCAACTTTAAGCTCATGGTAGGAGCCCACAGGACAAATTATCCAAATAAATGGATACGGTCTGGTTATTAGTGGAAAGAGTTAGGTGTCCTTGCCTACAGAGGAGATGCCGATAACCTTATGTGTCAAGCAAAACATTCCTCTTGGGAGGTCTTTATCCTGGAGACACCTACCTCTTCCCTTTGATTGCATAGGAAACTTTGAATGATGTAGGAAGGGTACTTCAGAAGGCATCGACTATTTGAAATACATGTACATGTACAGTTCAGACTATCTGAATTAAGCAGGACAAATTCTGTACCTGCTCTTCTTAAATTTTCTTTTCCCCCTTTCCTACCCTTCCTGTCTCCTTAAATCTTGAGTACTTTCTAAGCTTTTTCATCTTTTCTGTATTGTTTTTCTCCTTTCCTGCATTTCCCAATCTTCACATTTCCCCAGAACTTCTTTCTTTTAACTCAGTCCAGTGGGAAATTAAGCTTTCTGGTGTTGCTTGCTGAATGATCTTCCAACAACAGATATAATTTCATATATGGTAATACTTCAAATATAAAGGGACCTGAAATGAAAACCAGCTTCAGCATCACAAATTAGAAAATATGTCAATATTTGCTGTTTGTTTGCATCTGATAGAAATGGAGAGTGGAAAAGCACAGATGGCGGCTGTGTGAGTCTAGAACAAAAATTTCATCTGGGTCTCCTATATCCACATGAGCTGCTTAATCATCAAGCTCATGGATGTTCCACTCTTACACTTTCCACCAAAGGCTGCTCATTTCCACAAAAGAATGTGATGCTGGTGAATAGATTGTATCTAATAAAATATCAGAGCTGTTCTCAGCCAGTGCTAATAATGTGAGCAGCTATTTTTGTTAACATCAATGTAAAGCATTAGAAATATTTCAAAGTACTTCATCTGACACAAGGAGTACCTGGTGAGATTCCGAGGTGGTTTTCCCTGGGCTTAAAACTGTGTTACCTTTTAATTTTGACCGCACATGAAGGGACTGTTCCTGCTGGCTGAAATGACCCATGAAAACCAGCCTGCCTTCACGCATCAGCGAGAAATACTTGGCACCAATCATTAATTAGTCCAACAAGCAGAGCCACTGAGCTGGCAGGGTGCTCTAGGTGGCACCTTCATGCCTCAGAGCTGAGCTAATGTACTGACAATCTCAGAGAGGCATTTGGCATAAAAATGTATCCAGGCTTTAATACCGCCCCATGAAAATCTACAGACCACATTATCAGTCACAGGAAACCAGGGCTCGTGGAGAGGTGAGAGGTTTATTGAGGCAATCCTGCTTCTGCTGCTGCTCCTGCGTGGGGTTTTCTGCTCTTCCTGAGAGAGCTGAGATGGTCTTTCAAACCCCTGCTGATGGAAACTGCAGTTCCCCAGGCAAGCTGTCCCAGGACATCCTTAACAGAGGAAAGATTTTCTTAACCTTTAGCCTGATGCTTTCTTGCTGCAATGTAAGCCTATTGATTTTTTTTCTTCCATCCACCAGGGGCATGACAAATGGATCGTTCTTTTCCTCCCTGCAGCAGCATTTCATGTTTATGGAATAAAGTTAATCATGCTCCTCTCCCATCCTTTTGTTAGGTTACACAACTCCACTCCTTTCCATCAGCCCTTACAGCTAATGTGGTTTAGGTTCTTCTTTTCTGTCTTCTTTTTCTATTTTATTATTTTTTTCCTTGACACACAGTGTCTAATAGCAGTGGCTGAGAGTGGAAGGATTCATTCAGACAATCTGGCTGGTTGTAATTCTGCTTATGTATCCAGGTATGGCAGTAGCTTTTCTTGCAGCAGCACATCTTGATTCAAGTTCACCCTGCAAGAGTACCTAACTACCAGGCCACAGTTTTAAGGTGTCTAATCAGATGGCCTGGATTCTGCATTCATACAGCTTACATGCAGCACCTTGCATGTGTCATTTGAGATAACTTCATTTATTCAAACCTTTTTTCAGATCATTTGGGGTTTGAATCATCTCCTCCAAAATATTTGCAGTCTCTCTCAGTTTACCTTCTACTACTGATGTAGTACTTACCTAATGTCTTCGTCAAGACCTATTTCAATAGCTTGTTCATGAGAATATCATATAAAACAGTATTGAAGCTCTGTAAAAACCAAGCTGCATGATACCTACCATTTCTCATCCACATACCCATTACATTTTCACAGTAGGTAATTGGACTGGTTTAGGCATGACTGGGCTGGCCAATGTCCACACCCTTTTTATTTTTTAGCTATTTACAAAGGAAGCTGAATGACTTGTTCCAGATGTATTCATCAGAAAGTGAAGTTATCAATGTTATCTATAATTCTGTACCTCCATTTCCCCCCATTTTTAAAAACAGGTGACATTTGCCCTATTCTAGTGCTCTAGGCACCTCGCCTGCCTCCTCTGAGCTTTCCAGAAGAAGCACCAAGCCCCTCCACTTTCTCAGAGCAGCCCTTTATCTGGTACTTGCTTCCTCCTTGCCTCTTTATTCTTCAGCAATTCCTCCTGTTTTGACTGTTTCCAATCAAGCACAGCAAGCCTCTCTTCTACAGCCTTTTCCTATGCCCTGTGTCAAATGCTCTCCAGGAAAGAAGGGTGGCCTTTTGGGGGGCTTTAAGACTTAGAATCTCTTAGAGCTTAGCTGAAGTACTGTCCAAGGAAAATGACACAACTTAGGAGAAAATAAAGGTACCTCCTGTCACTGTTACTTAAGCAGACACATAATATCATGGTTCACACCAAATGTGCTTTGCTTGCGTTTGAGTTAGTCCTTCATTTAATCAACCCCAATTCCTTCTGCATTTGAAAGTAAGTCCAGTATTTAACAGGAAACACCTCACAGATTTTTGTTTTCCTGGTTTCCTGGACAGTGTTTGTTCTGCACTAGTCCCTCTTCCCTAGAGTAACCTTTCAGTCCTGGAAAATGTGACCCGCTGAGCTGTCCCTGCTCTCGTTACGGGTACACTGCCTCCGACAAGGTGTTTGCAGCTGAATTAGTGTTTGAGCAATTTGTCCCTAGATACAAAATACCTGGCAGCATCACTGCATCCTCTTGTTTGTGCTCATCCTGTTCTCCCATTCTTCCGCTTGTAATTCTCTGTGTGCTGTTGGGCTTGGGTTTTAGCTGCTTATTAAAGAATAAGCAAGAATAAATTTTGCAGTACCCTGAAACCAGTTGCATACTGACTGGCATACATTTTAAGCCAAATCACGATTTGATGAGGAAACTGTAGTTATTTAAGGTTTTTACTGTTGGCTTTTAGACAAAAAGAAGGATCTGCACGATGCCACTTTGCCAGCAGTGTTTAGAGCAAGCACCCTGCTGCTGCTCCCTCACCACACGTGGCTACCCATCAGCTTTCCTTTGGCTGTTAAACACGAATTTTTCCCTGTAGCAACAGCTAAACATTTACTCTGTATTCCTGGTGACCCTTCATAGATTTCAGAGCCAGTGACCACTATTTCTGTGTCATCCCCTGTAGCTGGAGGATAGCATTTATAGCAAGTCGCAGGGTTCGTGTCCCGGTGGTGTGACAAGGTGCTGACAGACGGCCAGGTGTGCATCAACATGCACAAAAACCATCGTCAGTCCTGAAAGTCCGGACACTTTCAGGGAAGAACATGGATTTCCATCTGTGTATTCTGGGAAGTGGCTTTCCGTGGGAGCTTCTCACGTCAGAAGGGTCAGGGAACACCTGTGCTTCGGGTCACAGCTCCCAGCACTCGGTGTCACCGCCGAGTCACGACAGGATACGCATCCAGGCACTCGAGCAGAGAAAACCTGGAAGCCTCCAGGCATGAGACCTTCAGGATGCCCAGGCTGCCAGCCCAGCAGATGCTGCCACGTGTCCTGGTGGCACCCGTGGGGCTGGGCTGAGTGCAGGGCAGCAGGTGGCAGGGACTGGGGTGGGAGAAGGAAGCAGGCACCAGTGAGAGTCAGAATCCCAGAATGGTTTGGGTTGGAAGGGACCTTAAAAACCACCCAGTCCCACCCCCTGCCATGGGCAGGGACAGCTCCCACCAGCCCAGGTTGCCCAAAGCCCCATCCAGCCTGGCCTTGAGGGCCCACAACCTTCCCTGGGGCTTTCCTCCCTCCTCTGGGCAGAGCATATGCTGCCTGTGCCCCCCCCAGCAACCAAGCTGCCCTCCCAACCGCAGGCAGCAGCCACAGAGGGCAGCTCTCAGCACAGCCCTGGCACAGCCCAAAGGACGTAGTTTGGGACAAACCAGCTGCAGCTTTCATCTAGGCCACCCAGCAGAAGCTGAAGAAGGTATCAGCTCCCCCCAGGGCTGCCCTTTCCTAACCTTCCAAAGATGTTCGGAAGGTAAATTCCTGTTCATTAGCAACAGGTAAGAACGCTGTATCTCCACCATCCACCTCTGGTTTCATAGGGAGACGTTTTCAGTGTCTGAGCAGCATCATTCTGCATCCCAAATGCTCCCCCAAGGCCAGAGCCTTGCTTCCAAGACCGGGCACAGCCAGCGAGCGTGGCTGAGAGCCGTGTGCCCCATCTGCTTCGTTTGCAAACCACACAGCAAACTGCAGGAAATCAGACACACCAGGACCTGCCACCTCCCCTCACAGAGTAATAACGGGGCTTTTTGCCTCCAGTCTGCACCAATAACCGCTGTGGCTTTTTGTTTGCTAGTATTCCCAGTGCAAGGACAGGATTAAACAGATGGAGGCAATCCTTGCTGACCCTACGAATGAGAGCAGAAAGCGAGACTTGGGAGGGACGGACCCATCGCCACCCGAACTGCGAAAGAAGATTGAACAGGTAGCACCTCTTTTTACTGCCCAATTGCTCTTACTTTGACCTTACTTAGAAAAAGCAAATCTTTTTCATTTCTAAAATAAGCATTCTGTAAGAGGAATTACTATATTTATGACTGGTTAGCAGGAACTGCAGCCCCGTGCCTGCTTCCCAAGAAAAATGGCTGTGGGGGATTTTGACTTCTCCCAGCAGAGGCTGGGAGGCTCTGTGCAGAGCACCTGGCTTAGCATCACCCTGCCTTGGCTGGTTAATTCACATCATCGGCACTTCACAGCCCCTCCAAATGCACTCAAGGGTTAACATGGAAAAGGGGGCAGAGGACAGTAAATGCAAAATAATGAACTGATGAGTGAAGCTGTCCAACCTCTGCAAGTGGCGCTGAGCTGCCCCACCACAGCCCCCACACTGTGACACGGAGGCAGTCCCGCTGCCCTCTTACAATCCACACAAATTAGGATAAAACACAACACCCTTATCAGGGGTTGGCTTTACTGCTTTGGTTCCACTACAACAAGGAGACACAAAATAGCCCGTTCCCTAAACGGCACCCAGGCCAGGCAAAGGGCCACACACCTGGTTTTGATACTTCAAAAAATCTTTGAAAAAAAATTACTTGCTCTTGGGAAAATCATGGCGAGGCAGTAATATTGTCAGTGTAATCCCCAGCCCACCTAAAGGGCCCAGGCAGACACGGAAAATCTGGAAGACTGAGAACAACCTTAAGTTTTTGCCTGGTAGGGGGTAGAAAGGGTGAAAATTTGGGGAAAAGTGCTGGTGAAGAACACGACTGTTTGCCGGTATTAGTTCAGGAGCTGTCAACTCTTTCCAACCAACCCCAAGAACAGCTCCTGCTGCACCTTCCCCTGCCATTTACCCGTGTTGTGTGTACTCCTTCTCGCTGCAGATAGAGGTAGAGCTGGTGCAGAAAGAGGAGAGGCTGCTGGAGATGGATTTCCTCTATGACCACGTTTCCCGGCTAACAGCCAGGATCCGCACCACAGCAGGGAGCAGGCAGCAGGACACGCTGCTCTTAGCCACAAGGGTAAGAAGGGGATTGCACGCTCTGCTTGCTGGCCTACGTGAAACAAAATAGCTGGGCAAGAGGGCAGATGACTCGCTTGCAAATTACAAAACTAGCGGCTGGGATTATTGATAGGCAAATCATACGTTATCCATAAAAAATTAGACATTTGGTAATAACAGTAACATGGGCCTAGCAACAGCACTGGGAATGTTTCTTTTAGAAAGAAAGTTGCATCATAAATAGATGTTGCACCAAAACATGTCAGTTATTTCTCAGGTTGAATGCTTGCAAACTTGGAAGAATCCTCCTCTCGAATGTTTACTGAACTGTCTTTCCATAACAAACACAAACAGTGAACAAAAACAAAAACAAAAAAAAAAAGGAAAAGCCAGATAAGTCCCATATTGCCTCCAATGCAAAAAAGATAAATGTGACACGTGGCTCACAGTTTTTGTTATTTAAATAAGGAGAACCACATAGGAAAGAAATATAATTTTCAGTGCAGTTACTTTTATATAATTATAGATACTGCCTTTTAGCTGCCAGTAGCATTATTTGGGAAGGAGCAAAATCATCTCACCCCCACCTCCTTAACGAAAAATAGAGCAGAGCTCAATGAAAAAGTGACATAATTGATGTAAAACAAGGCCAGGGTTGACTTTTTTCTTAGTTGGTAGGTTTGGCACTGGGATATGCTTAAATCAAAACATCTTCAGAGCAAATCTTTCATTTTCTACAGAAAGGGAAATAACATGGCTGATGTTTGTCTTTGGAAAATTATGGCCACTGGCTAATAAGTTACTGTAAAAATGGCAGTGTGACAAAAGTTCAGTTTTAATCTTAAATTCAGTTTTAAATCTTAAAAAGATTTAAGAATATTCTGAGTTTTTGTTTGTTTTGTTTGTTTTTTAATTTAAACTCACCTCCAATCCAAATCAAGGATTCACATCTTGTTCCTTTTCTGTCACCCTGCTTAAGGATAACTTACCCCACAGCACAGCTGTGCCCACATTGTCACTGAATTATCTTGTAGGGATCAGATTTCTTACACCTCTCAATAAAAAGTTAATTGTGCACAAGCTCAATCAGAATCTAGGTTTTTCTCTCTGCCTTTGAGATAAATGGAAGTTTTGGCATTCAGCTGAAAAGGGCAGATTATAATTACACACACATTTTCTCGTAACTTGTACTGGAGTAACTGGGACTTTTTATGCTGCAGGTTTCTATGGTTCAGAGTGTACACAGGAAACACACACACACAGTTTCAAAGTTATTTTTAAGTATAGAACTGGGGCTTTTTGGAAACAGAGTCAAGTTGGACTTGTTTTCATGTACCTTGTACTTACTGAAGTGTCATATCCAGCATCTAAAGGGAAGACCTAAAATAAAATTGTCACTTATTCCAGATAAGTGAATTACAGAAGAAGATTAAAGACAGAACCCAGAAGATGATGGCTCTTGTTGCAGAGTTATCCATGAAGCAAGCCCTTGCCATTAAACTCCAGCAGGAAATGAGAGACAAAGAACAATTTTTGATGACTGTTTCAGCAAGGATAGACCAAGGCCTTCCTCCGCCCAAGGAGACAGAAATTGAATGGTTGAAGATTTTACGCAATGAGAAGGTGTATAAAGAAGCAGCTGAAGCCAGAGCTAGAGTAAGTTTTTGCTCTGTCACAGTTGGGTCTTCAGTTTCTCCTCCTTCACTGCTCATCTTTCTGGCAGAGCTGTTAGCTCCCTACATAGCTGTGTGCTGACAGCCACAGAGCTCCAGGGGCTGGTGGGGATGATGGCACAGACAGGCAACTACAGAAGCAGCACCCTGTGGATCTGTGCAACTACACCTACAGCCTGGCACACCACTTAGAACCGGTCACCAAACTTTAATGAGAGAATATATTACACTCAAAGGAAGATCTGTTTTCATTCATTGAAGTGATTTATGTGACAATGTTTTGGGACATCAGTGAAGTACTGCTTTCAGTTTGATGTAAAGCCACAAAAGGTAGGGCTTGAGGTTCAGAACTAAGTTTGGCATCCTCCACATATCAAGATGCAGTGAACAGCAGAAGTAGCAAGAAATCAGATTGGGCAGCAGATCAAATAGTGATTCCAGTTCTACCCTGCTGGCTGCAGTTAGGACCTCTTTAGTTGAGACTGCCAACCCCTGAGCAGAAAGCTCCCAGAGAAGAAAAAGTCACAGACAACTGAGATGTCTATAACTGAGGGAACTCCTGCAGGTAGGAAGTGAGCTCTGCTGTATGGATCCTTCATTTGATCACTCCGAGGAAATCTGACAGGAGCACATAGCTGGGGGAGGAATACACAGCGCATACATTTAAAGAACCCAAAGTCATGCAAAATTGCTGTGGTAAAACTGGTTTAGAATAAGAACCCTTTGTCATTAACTTCTCCTCCTGCTATGACTCAGTTTCCTTTCGGTACTGTGGACCAGAGCTTGTTGCAGTAACAGTTACAGGAACAGCTGCTGTCAGCATAAATACAGCCTAGGTTTTGAAGCATCAGAACTACTATCTTGTTCCTGAGATACTTCTACATATTCTACATATTTCGACATCTGCATTTTTGCATATTTTGCATATTTGCAATTTCTGCATCTTTCTACATTTTTTATATGTTCATTTAACTCATCTTCTCAATAATAAAGACACAACATGTTCAGACTATACAATATTTATTAAAAGGACAAGCTCCCATCTACACGGTCAATAAATCATGCTTCTTTTCAACAAACAACTAATACTCACCTGTTTCCTAAGGATTAGACTAACAGTATTTCCCTGTTGGGCATTCTGTATTTGAGCTCAGAAGAGTACTGATGGCATTTTTAAAGCACGTAAGCACCATGTGAACAAGATGTGTTTTGTTTTTTTTCCCAGCAGGCTGCAGAAGAGGAACAAGCTGCAGTGCCTGGCTGTGTCCACACAACAGCAGAACAGCGCCCAACTGCCTACATCCCGAACGATGAATACAGCCTCCCATTGCCACGGCCCTACGGTGCCCTGGCTCCTTTCAAGCCAAGTGAACCTGGTTCAAATATGAGACACTTCAGAAAACCAATTGTAAAGCCAATTGAAATCTGAAAAGACAGCATCCGGAGCAGGAGAGGCCATTACCAATGGTTGAATCTCACAAATCAACAGCATTTACACTACATTGAAGGAATGTCCCTTAGTGTTTAGCCAAATTCCATACTACAAAGTAGTACTTAGTGCCAGAAGCATGGCTAGACAGTCAGGGATACAAGTTCCTTCCTTATGGCTAGGAGGAGCCTGGTATGCCAAATGTAGTGCAGTATTTTAAAATGTTAAGAAAAATAACCAATTATCACAATACTTTAGTTTCCAGGTGAAATTTTATTGCATCTGACTATTTCTTATAGTACATTTCATTAAAAAAGCCTAGAAAGTCTTCCCTGGTTATTAATATCACATGAACAAAGCTCCCACATCTTATACAAACACACTATCAGAGCTTTCTGCAGTCTGGGATTGACAGAAAAAAATAATTGTTTTGATAAAAGTATTCCTTCCCTCCATGCAGTTACTGAGAAAGCTGTAACATTTCTCCAGTAATGGCAACAAGGGAATGACCATAAACTTGCTGAGACACAAGTGTGTACTGAACCCTTCTGAGAACTGGATCTTTTCATTCAACTGGTAAGGAATAGTGAAGTGGAAACTGCCCAGAGTATGTATCAGAGGATGTAGTGAAAACCTCCAAAATCTATTGAATTGTCAATGCATTTCACTAGTTCAACAGTCTGAAACTGTGATCCAGTTGTTTTTCAGTCCAATGCAGACTGCAGAAATCCCACATGTGGGAATTGAAGATTTTCCCTGCATACCAAACCACTATTACTCCTTGAAATTAATGTCACAGTTCAAAACTAAAACAAAACAACAAAAAAAGACAACCCAAACCTGGGTCAGTTATGTATAAAAAAATTTGAAGAAGAGGAGAAAACCTCCATCAGTTCTTTTTGAAGCTGAGGTTTGAACTGTAACACCAAAAGTTAGAAGGAAAGAATCACATAGAATTCTGTCCAAGCTGCTGTGAAGGAAAGTTTCCGACAAGTTTTTTTCTTGTCCTGTATTACATTTAATATATTATATATATCTTAAAAAAAACAACAACAAACCCCATCACACACATTTTAAGGAGATTACGTTTTGTCCTAATTATAAAAAACAAGTATTTTAGAATCCAATTCCAGAGGCAGAAGCCCAACCTCACCACCCCAAGGAACAAATACACCATTATGGATGCCTTATATACAAAGACTCATTTCTCATTTGTTATCCTTACCTATTTTACAAAACCACACCAGGAAACACTCTTATTAATCTCAATGAGAAAGAGTGGTCAACTTCTTACTATACAACTGGATTACCTTTTTCAGCATTGTCTTTCTTATTACTGTCAACTATTTTAACACCAATTTCCACAGCATGTTCTGATACCCACAAGGGGTCCCCTTACTTGAGGGCTTCAGACCGAAAACCACAGACATACTGGAAACCTGGGTTTGTGTCAGGTGCATTTCTCTAGGATTTCTCTAGAAGTCAGTAATTTCAGCCTTAATACATTGGACCAAATGCTACTTTGAGTAGGTTCTGTCAGTAATGCTGGCTACCCAAACCTGCAGATTATTTGGCAAACATGACATTTACATTAAAAAAAAAAGAAAAAAGAACAAACAACAAACAACGGGTTGCACACTTCTGTGTGAAAAACTTCTATGAGTCCCACAGTTAACGTGCGGTTGAAAGCTACTTCAGGAATATTTGAGGCCCAGAAGCATCATGGTATGTTTCAGTGCTGCTTCCTCCACAAACCTTACATTAACATGATCTTGTTTTTCATATGGATGCACACCTAGGAGAACACAATAAGCAAGTTAGCATTTGTAGAACTGGGACTTCATGTACAAGAACACACAGTCTATTAAATATCTTGGCCTACAATAACCAAATGCAAGGGTTAGGTGGAACTGTGGTTTTGTTTACACAAAACACCAGCAGTTTTCAATGCAGTTGCCTGGATGCTCACCCATGACAGAAATTTTCCTGTTAGTGGGATACAAGTACACAATACCCCATATGGAGGAAAGCTGGACCTTGACTGGAGGCTGCTAGGGATTTCCATACAAATTCTACGTTGAAGATCAAAAACAAGATTTAGGCACACTGGCAATGTTTGTAGTCCAATGTAGTACATAAAACAGATCAGAGCACATTCTCATATGCATCTACATGGTTTAGCTCCTTTTTCCTTCCTAACTGGGATGACGTCCATACACACGCAATTCTATTTTAGCACTTGGGTCCTTATCATGACTTTAATTTGTTTACTGGTAAAGGCACGGCCAATCACACTACACAGCATAATGCTTCCTTTCTGCAACTTGCTTTTTCAGTGGAATTCAAAATCTCTGGATACTTAGGTTTCCTTGTGTGAAGCAAGTGCCCTAACCAATCTGAATCTTATGTCACCAAAAGGTACTGCTCTGAGATGCCTGTTACTTCAGAGCACCTCCCACCCGAGTGATCTGAGTACTCTCCCCTGAGGTGGAAGATCTGACTGCGGCTGCCCCTGCTTACTGGCTGAGCAGCAGGGCTTTAGCTACCACACTGCGTACATAACACACGAGCCCTTCTCCCCATTCGGGCACAGAGTAACACCTCCTACCACTCCGTGAGCCAGTTTGCCAACTGGATTCAACACGTAGAGGATTTGGATGAGAAGATGCACAGTGATCAAGTGCTCTGACAATTCCCATCAGCAGAAAGAAACCCAAACTGCATGTCCAGACAGCACTGGAGCTTTACAACTCAGCTATATCTGTATTGTCAAGATATAGCTGAGTGTGAGCGAAGAGTAACACTTACTGGTCTTCCAAAGTAGTTGAATTCCAAAGAATTCAAGTTACCTTGATTCTCTATCTCTGCCAGCATGTTAGTCAGGTAGTTAAGTGGCAAAAACTCTACAGGCACCGGGCGTCTCTCGGAGATAGGCCTGCTACACTGTGAGGGAGAACATTTCAGATTAGTTCACACAGTTGCACAGTACCAAGTTTCAGCATTACCTTCAGTGTGGTATGGTTGACAGCAAGGTCAGGAATCTCAACGCTGTCAGAGCAAAAAGATAAAGAAAAGAAAACGGGGCTTATGTGCTCTTACCTGCCTACTCCCTAGCTTCTCAAGCAGAAGTTTCACATATTTCCGTGCGATTAAATTCGCATTTATTGGATGATTCCAGAACTGACGGACCTTTTGACCAAGAGCCTAGTAAGCAAAAACCAAAAATTGAGAACATAAAACATTACTGTGGAAACTTAAGAGGGAAAAAAGGAGAAAAAAAAATCAAAAAATCCAGGCTTTAATACAGACAAATTTGCTTTTACACACTGATGACAGAAGGTAAGATGTCGTTGTGTTTACCCACAGAGCCACCATTTCGGAGCCAGTAGCTAAGAGCTTACAACGTGCTCCCAGAACATGGGGAAAAAAAAATAAAAATAAAAATCAAATCCCAGCTACTCAGCAAGTTTCAGTCAACCATTCTGCCCCATCAACTCTGCCCAACTTTGCACGTGTACTTAAGCATCAACTGAGGCTTAAAATGACCTTTTATGCCTTACACGGACTCTGGTTTAGATTCATTCTTCTCCCAAAGAATAGCAAAGCCACCCCGTTTATTAATGCTCTGGTCAGAACAGGGCTTCTCTCAGGCTCAGTGGAAGGAAGCCTACAAAAGCAGAATGCCAACAAGGAGACACTAGGAACAGATTTTACATCCTGTTATTTAGGACACTGTCCTGGGAAACGGTAGAATTGATTCACATTCCCAAAGGCAAAAGGTGTTCAAAGTGTCCCAAAGTTTCCAATCCTAAGCAAAAAGCAAGCAAATAGGAACGCTGTGAGATTGGCTCCGCCCGCTGTTCTCCCAGTCTAGATCCATTTCTCTCTCACTTTCAATGTAATGAAACACAGACCACTGAAAGAGTTCATTTAGGAAATTCTGAAGGGTTTCAATGTTGCTTAAATACTTGCTTCTGAAGTCATCTAGTGAACGTAACCTGAACTCAAAATAGTCCGAATCACCCCTAAGTGTCCTTTTGGGCAAACAAACTATTCTCTGCATTTTTTCCCAAAGCTCTAAATAGACACAATAAGGCACTGAGCCTACTGTGTGTAGCTGGCAGTACATGTTCCCTACAGCACTCAGCTCGGTTCAATGGTGTTCCCCACCCACCAGGCCTGGGGCTGACAGCTCAGAGGCCCCACATGACCTCAACTCGCTAACCCAGGCCCAAAACAAGAGAGAGGACAAAGCACATGTTGTGGAGTCCTCCTTCCCTACCCCTTCTCAAAACTGCTGCCAAATAAAGAAGCCCTTGTTAGGGGAAAACTGCAGCAGCACTTTTGGCCATTTGGACCGTACGTACGAGTCCATAATGAACAAACAATGAGCAGTTTATGTTGAGAAAAGCCTGTTCTATGGAAAGGCACTCCCAGAGGGGGATCCCTGGTTTTTCTCTGCTCACAGATGTTGCACTTCCTCTGCAGTGCTGTGCGCTAACAGCAAAAAGGGAAAAGAGAGAGGCAATCTCCTCTTCTGCTGTAACCTTCAAAGAAGCACCGACAGCAAGTTCCAGCATGTGCCTAGCAAGTCACGTGCTGCATGAGCGAGCTGAGGGATTTCACTGAGGGGGAAATCTTGTAGTTACATCACCGCAGGGTTGTGGTGGGATCAGATTTTACAGCTTTTACTCTACCAGCTTTTAAACATATTTGATAAAATGAATAAACCAAATACAGATGAAGAGGTCACAAGTGAGAAAACGTTTGTGGATACTAAAAAATAAATAAATAACCCAGAAATCCTCTAAACCCCTCAAAACTCTTATTGCTTTATGCAGATGAGTACTCAGCAGAACAGCACCCGTCTTGTCAATTTGATTCTTGCAGGGTCACTGCAAAACACTACAGACAGATTTATGATTTAAGTTACCAGGGTACCCTACAAGTTACGAGCAGCAGATGGAGAAACTTTGGAGGTTTGGGTTATTTCTATGCCCTGCTTGAATGGCAGCTAAGTCTTCTGTTGGCTTGATCCTATGCACAGGGAGGAATTTTGTAGCATTCCCAAATTCCAAGAAATAATGTCCAAAGGTACCTCGGGAAGTCTCGTCACAATACTGAACTTCAGCTTTTCATTCTTCTCCGTGTCATCCAGATCTACAAGCAAAAGGAAAAAGAAAGCCAATCTCTTTGGTGGTAAACACACAACTAAAACTTCTGATTTCCACTGAAGACATTCTCAAGAAGTATCTCCATAACAAAATGAAAATTTTAGTTTTACCCAAGGGTTCGTAGGAGAGTTATTTACATTTATACAGATTATAGAAATGTTTTTCCTGTATATTTGTATATAATTTCACCATTTTTGGTAATAATTTGTACAGTAATTCAAACACATTTTGACTAAGTAGATCTGCCCACATTTTTAATATTAACTTATCAAAACCAGGCACAGACTAATACAAACACTGTGTCCTTTCTCTTAACACAGGAGAAGCAAGCAGTACATTACAAGAGAACATGGCTGCAGCTGTGATGAAATGCATGGAGACTCATATCGCAGTGCTCCTGCAGCTCAGGAAACACGCTATAGTTCTCTCTTCCTTCCTTCTTACCTAGACAAGTTGATTAATGCGTGTGTAATATTAACTGTGCCTACAACTGCTAATTTGTCCCACTCCCCATTTCATTCCTAAGCCTCAGACCTCAATGATTCCCAGTGCCCCCTCTGTGGAAACAAGCTGCTCAGTTCCTGCTGAGAGCAAAAGGCACAAACAGCACAGGATCTATTCCTCACGACTACACAGGTTCAGACAGACTGGTTTTAATTCCTGTCTTTAGGTACCATAACGATAATTAGAATACATCACATTCAAAATACACAAACTCATGATCTACTAAAAATACTGGGATGCTGGGTCAGGTAGGTTTTTGTTTGCTTATTTTGAATTTTTCCTTCCCAGCACAGAGTTTCTACCTATTTGTTAATCTCAGTACCAAGACTGCCTTGTCCCAAACTTAATTAAAACAAAAGATGACACCAGTGAGCAAACTA